GCCTGCTCTTAAGGTCTACTCATGGCCCGAGACTGTTGCATGCAGTGGGGTGATAGAGGCTTGAGCACAAGTCCAACCCAAAGGCACCCAATGTTCTATGTGTGGGTGCAAGTGCCAGGGGCTGTTGGTTCCTCTAGTGTTCAGATTCACCACAGTGGGCCCTACACTGAGTTCCAAGGCAAAATCTTGTAATTCCCTCCCTGTTCTAACCTAGGAAATGGAGTCTTTCAACACTCTGTGATTCTTCAGTAGGGTAGGGATGGTGGAGAGGTCCCTTGGCTACTAAGGCTGACACCAAGCTGGTTTGCACCTGAAGCTCATGGCTATAAGCACCAATGAAGTCACAGATTGACCACCCAGGCCCAGGCCATCCATGGCTAGTGGTGTTGTGGAGCAGGTGTGAGTCCACTCTGCTGAGATCTGTAATTTCCACTGGGCCCTGGGATGGTTCAAGAGGCTCCATCCACAGTCACTGGTCTGGGGCTCTACCTGATATGGAATTCTTCTTGGCAGGCCTGTACTGTGTTCCACGTCTGTAGCCCATTTTTAATTTCCTTTGCCTTCACTAAGTGGCTGGTGTCTTTTTCTAAGCTGCACTGCTTGGATTTAGGGGAGGGCTGGTACAGGAAGCTCCCTCATGTCTTCTTCAATTCCTCTTTTCTTATTAGCATGCTGGCAATAACCCCAGGTGCTGTGCTCTTCCACATGGTTCCTCAGCTCTTGTGGGGTTGCTTCATGCTTAGAGAGTTGTTGACATCGACGTTTCTGTGGAGAGACAATCGCAGGAGGGCCTGATCTGCTCTCTGGCTCCGCCCCAGTGTTATCTCAGGTTAGTGTCCCTGGCTCCTGTGGTTTGCTTAACCCTAAGATTTGACTCCTGTGAGGAGTTTGTGGAATTCTCCTCATGCAAAAGACCCAAGTCCAACAAAGCTATATTTTTTTTCTCTGTCTCCTCCTTTGTGATTTTAAATGGATTTAATTATGTTATGGGTGTTCTCAAAGAAATAACTTTTAGACTTGCCTATTATTTTTTATTTTGTTTTCTGTTTTAGTAAATTCAGTTCGTTTAACTTTAGGATTTAATTATTGTGGTTTTTTTTGTCTGAGTGACCTGTCCTTTGATGAAGGTGAAATATTGAATTCCCCAGTTATGATTTATGCTGGAGCCAATCTGTCCCATAGGATCTACTACTCTGTGGTATAAACTTCGAACTGCAACATTAGATGAATATGCATTCACAATTGTTAAATCTTATTGAATTGATCCCTTAATTATATACTGAGACATTCTTTGTGTTTTTACAGTGTTTGACCTTGTTAGTTTAATCTGATATAATTACAGCTCTTCATGTTGACTTTTGGTATCCATTTTCAGGAAATATCTTTCTCCTTTCCTTATCTTTCACTATGCGTTATGTCTTTAATGGTTAAGTGAGTTTCTTGTAGGCAGCATATCATTGAGTCTTGGTTTTTTTAAATTGTCCCAGTCAGTCCATTGTTTTCTTGGGACATTAAATCCATTTACAGTCAGATAGTTATTGATGTGTAAGCCTTGCCACTTGTGGAGTTTCTGTCAGTAGGTGTGAATATTCTTTGTCATTGTTTATCTCTCTCATTGTTTTTCTGTGTCAAAGGGTTCTATCCTTTTCTATTGATTTTTCGTGTATCTATTCATCTTTTGGTTTTATATTTTTGTATCTATTCATGGCAGTATGACCTTCCTTCTGCTTCTAGGCGTAGGACTCCCTTAAGAAACTTGTAAGGCGCATCTGGTGGTGCTTGTTTCCCTCGGTTTTTGCTATTTTAGGGAGTACCTGTTTCTCCTTCACTTTGGCAGGGTAGTTTTGTTGAGTATTTCTTCTTGGTGGGCAGGTTTTTCTCTGACAACCTTGGACATATCATCCCATTCTTCCTGGTGTATAAGGTTTCTGTTGAGAAATGCTATTTTATAATAGGAGATCTCTACTGTGTGACTGGTGATTTTCTCTTGTTATTTTTAAGTGTTTATTTGTTTAAGTTATTTTTATCCATTGGAAAGGCACAGGGACAGAGAAAAAGACAGAGAGGGAGAGAGAGAGTAATTTTCCTTTACTGGTTCTCTCCCAGGTATTCACACCAGCTAGGGCTGGGCGAGGGCTAATCCAGGAGGAAGCAGCCCCATGCAGGTATCTCAAGTGGGTGGCAGGGCTCAAGCACTTGAGCCCTCATCTGCTGCCTCTCATGTTGCATTAGCAGGAAGCTGGATTGGAATCAGAGAAACTGGGCCTCAAATGGACATTTCAGTACAGTGTCTGGGTATTCCAAGCTGGGTTGAAATTGGCATTTCAGTACAGTGTCTGGGTATTCCAAGCTGGGTTGAAATTGGCATTTCAGTACAGTGTCTGGGTTTCCAAGTTGCTAACCTGCTAGAATCAATATCCTCTCTCTTGATGTTTTTTGAAGTTTTTCTTTTCTTTTCTTTTCTTTTGTGTGTGTGTATGATATTTTTTTTGATTTAGTTTTTTTTAACTTTTATTTTAATGAATATAAATTTCCAAAGTACAGCTTATGGATAACAATGGCTCCCCCCCCCCCATAATCTCACTAGTCCAAATGATCAATTCCCGTTCACAGTTTATCATAATGATAGGACTAAGAATCAGAGAGATCACATGATCAAGACTAGTGTCTGAAGTTTTTCAAATCTGATCTTTTGATAGTTTGACTGTTCTATGGAATGCAGAGCACCTTCCTGGTGAAATCCTCTTGAGGACTTTGAGTCTCCTAGACCTGGATGTCCACATCTTCTCTACGATTTGGGACACTTTTAGCTGTTATATCAGTGAATAGATTTCCCATGCCTTTTCCAATCTTGTCTAATGTTGTCCATAAGTCTGGAAGTCCTTCTTTTTTCTGACTCTGTTCATTGGAATGTTCTGTCTTCGCATTTGGGAATTACTTCCTCTGCTTATCTAGTCTGTTGTTGAAGGGCTCAGTTGTATTTTTTTTTATTTATTGAGTTCTTCAGCTCTAATATTTCTGTTTGATTTGTTCCATGGTCTCTTTTTGTTTTTGTTGAATTTATCATTCGTATCATAGTATTTGCAATTTTATTGACATATCTATATTTTCTTCAATTTTGTTGAGTTTCCTTAGAATCATTCTTTCAAATCCTTCCTTGGGCATTTCATCACATTTCTTTTTTGTGAAGTACGTTGCCAGTACATTATTGTGTTCCTTTGGAAAATCATGTCACCTTACTTTTTGCAGTTGTGTCCCTGTGTTGGTGTCTGAGCATCTGCTGGGTCTGATTCTGTACCTAGTTTATGGCTGGCTTTTGTAGTAAGAGAGTTTCTCCCAAGTTGTGCCTTCGGGTGTTGGCTCTGTGCTGTGTTACTTTTGGTTCCAGTTGGGAGCCTTAGTGTGGCCTCTATACAGCTTCTCCAGCTCCATAAGAGGCTTTGGGCAGGGACACTGTGGCCACTGGGCAGACAGCCTGTCCATGTGCACAGGCTGTGCAGGATGGGGACATTCTAGTGGCCCAGATGGGTATAGAACATATAGCAGTGGGGGTGTGGTACCCACAGTGTGCCTACTCCAGCAGGCCGAGTCAAGGGTGTGCAGTACACACAGCAGAGGTCCTGGGCCTGTCAGACCCCACAGGCCACATGGACAAGGGGCTCCTCCACCAAACCAGGGTGGGTGGAACAAGGTGATGTATCTGCGGTGTCATGGCATGAAGCAGTCTCTGAGGGCTGCACTGGGAGGGGCACTCCAGTGTCCAGGAGGGTGCAGTGCACCTTGCATGGTAGCAGGAGCAGGGTACCCGAGTGGCACGACTTGTACTCCTCAGTAGCTGGGGTCTGTGCGGGGGCACTGCAGTGGCCCGAGTGCAGCTCTGCACCTAAAGAACAAGGAGGAGTGGGGCCGCCGTGAAGCCAACATCTGTCAGCTTGTGGGCTCTGTGTAGGTGCGATGTCTCTGTCTGTCCAGGGTAGGTCTCTCCATTCCACCTGCACTGCACTCCCCCAAGTGTTGTAGCTAAACGAGAGTTTGTTTTTCTCTTAGTTTCTAATCCGTCTCTGTTGGGAAGTCCTCCGGTGTCTGTCACTGGCCATCTTGCCAGACCTGAGAGCACAGAGACTGCACAGTCATCCAACAGGGCCCCATGCAGCACAGTCCGGAATTGGGGCCAGGGTAGTGGTGACTCTCAGAGCTCAGCTGCAGCCTGCTAAAGTGGTTAAAAGAAAAATAGTAGGCAATGAAATGAAATTGATGTGGGAAATTACTAATTTTAAGTGCTTCCCAGTGGGCTATTGAAGGAGAGAGAGAGAGAATATGCAGCTCCCAGCCTCTCTTTAATGAGGTTAGGGGTACCCTATGGACAAGAAGGCATCTAGGGTATTTGATGGCACAACTATGAGCTGAATGTGGAGTTTAGTGTCTGTATTTCTTTGCAGTCTTACTTGCAGGGATCAGGTGAAGCAGATGCATCCTGGGAAAGGAGACATTTTGATTGACCAGTAAGAGGATAGAATGACACATGGAGAGATAGCATGTGATATGTTACCTCTAGCCCAACAGATCCTAAAAGCTGCCCACATAGCACATATCAATATCAGTGTCCAAAGTCTTATTTTGATCATTGGAAACACAAGACATTGAACTAGGATGTCCCCAGAGAGAGCAGCAGGGTCAGATGAGTTTCGCTTAGATTGGGCCTTCAGATCAATCTCTGCTTGGTGGAGGCAGAGGGTAGGGCAGTCATAGAGAGGAGGATAGTTTATTCCACAATGATTACTTGAGGAGGGCACCGTGGCATCCAATGACATGCTGATGTGATAAGCAGCCTGTTGACAGCATATAATGACTGGAGAAACTAGTAGGAGGCGCAACCCAGTGTGCAAAGTGCGGTGCTGTTGGTTTCTGCTGAGTTGGTGCTGGTACTGCGGATTCCCCTGCAGCGGCTGGTGAGGCTGCTGCTCCTGCTGTGTGTGCTGCCCTGGGCTGAGGGCGGCAAGGTGCTGGTGGTGCCCATGGAGGGAAGCCACTGGCTTTTTTTTTTCCTTCTTTGTTCTTTCAGCATATGACATGGACTGTTTCTATTGTTCTCATTGGGTTTTCCGCTGTGAGTTGCCTTTTTCTCAGGCATGTAGTTTCTATCTTTTTTAAAAATTATTAATTTTGCCCTGGGTTGGCACAGGGGATTAAGCAGCCTCCTGCAGTGCCGGCATCTTCCATGGGCGCTGGTTTGAGACCTGGCTGCTCCACTTCTAATGCAGCTCCCTGCTAATGCACCTTGGGAAGTCCCGGGAGCATGTCCACTCTCTTCAGGATGCATGAGAACAGAGCAGAGAGTTTGAGGTAGAGAAGGTTCATGCGAAGGGGAGCCACAGGTGGCAGGCAACGAGGCACAGAGGCAGCGGGTGGCAAGCTCAGGGTGAGTGCTCGGAAACTGCCTGGGATGGCACAGGCAGAGCTGAGCAGGAGATGCAGTGAATGTGGGAGAAGGAGCAGAGGGCCTCCCAGGGCTGACTGATCTGCTTTGTTTTTGGTCAGATCATGAAACATCCGTTCTGTTTGTTTCCCCCATGTGCAATGCAGTCATTCAATTATATCATCTCTGTGTGTCTATATTATATTTGTAAAAATGTTGAAAAGTAAGCAACTATTTTAAAATGATTGTTTTTTTTTTTTTGCCTTTACTGCAATTATATTCTCTGCAGTTAACTTCATTGTCTCCAGTTTTATTGACTCCCACTTTCCTCGCTGGATGACTTTCGATAGGCGACCTGACCATTCTGGCTTAGATATTGTCGTAGTGAGCACACGACACACATTATGTAGTCTCATTATTTCTGCAGCTTAAACGGTATGCAGCAGGACAAGGTGTGTCACCTGGAACCCATGTTAGTTCCATTGTATTTGTCAAGTGAGAGACCATTTACCCTTAAAGATTCACCATGTATTATATGTGATAGTTGTGCCACTATCATTTTTATTAAATATTTAAAAAATATTTTGGGTTATTATCTCATAATTACACACAATTATGGGCCAGCATGCGGTGCTTTCATTCATGTGTATATTGTGTCATGTTCAAATCAAGGCAGTCCATCTCCTCAATGTCTTTATCAAAATGTCTTTGTGGAGACAGCATTCAAAATCTTTTTCTCCTGGCTGTTTTGAAATATATCACGTGTAAAAAAATATATATCACATGTGTTCGTCACCTATGGTCATGCAACTGTGCAGATGAATCCAGCACTTTTCTCCTAACTGGAACTTGTTCCCGCTGACCAGTCCTTCCCTCCCTCTCCCTCTCCTCTATGCTGTTGGTGCTTAGGAACTGCTGTGCTGCTCTCAATTTCAGTGAGGTCAAGTTTTTTTTTTTTTTTTTTTTTTTTTTTTTTTGACAGGCAGAGTGGACAGTGAGAGAGAGAGACAGAGAGAGAAAGGTCTTCCTTTGCCGTTGGTTCACCCTCCAATGGCCGCCGCTGCAGCCGGCGCACCGCGCTGATCCTGGCAGGAGCCAGGAGCCAGGTGCTTTTCCTGGTCTCCCATGGGGTGCAGGGCCCAAGCACCTGGGCCATCCTCCACTGCACTCCCTGGCCATAGCAGAGAGCTGGCCTGGAAGAGGGGCAACCGGGACAGAATCCGGCGCCCCAACCGGGACTAGAACCCGGTGTGCCGGCGCCGCAAGGTGGAGGATTAGCCTATTGAGCCACGGCGCCGGCTTTGAGGTCAAGTTTTGATTTCTACCTATGACTGAGGTCAAGGGCTGTTTGTGTTTCTGTAGCTGGCTTGTTTTGCTTAAAACTAACAGCCTCCAGTTCCATCTACCTTTTCACCAATGACAAGGTTTAGTCCTTTTTTTATGGCTAAATGCTAGGGATCTTTTAAAAATCTGTGGAAATTGCCAGTTATGAAAAAAGCATGTGTGCATTCCAGAAATCTTTGTAACAAAATGAACTTTTGTCTTCATTGCATTTTCTACAACCCTTGGGAAGTACCCTTGATGGAGCAAAGACATACTCCGCAGCCATTCTAGCTCCTTGTCCTAAAATAGAGAGGGGGTGGGGGGAGACAGAGAGGTTCACTCACCAGCTGGCTGAAATGGCCAGAGCTGCTCCGATCTGAAGCAGGAGCCAGGAGCTTCTTCCAGGTCTCCCATGCGAGTGCAAAAGCCCAAGGGCTTGGGCCAACTTCTGTTGCCTTCCCAGGCCATAGTAGAGAGCTGGATCCAAAGTGGAGCAGCCGGGTCTTGAACTGGCACCCATATGGGACACTGGCATTGCAGGCAGTGGATTTGCCCACTGCACCACAGTGCCAGCCCCCTAAAATTTTCTTTACACATTCATTTGTTGATGGACACTTAGGTTGATGTCATTTCTTGGCTATTGTGTATAGTGCTGCAATCATCATGGCAGTGTTGTTGTCTCTTGAACATGCTGGTTTCCTTCCTTCTGCATATACCCAGAAGAGAGATTGTTATATCGTATGGTAGTTCCAGCTTTAATTTTTTTTCAGAATATTCCATCCTGTTTTCCATAATGGCTATGCTAATTTGTACTCTCGTGAATAGTGTTCTAGTGTTCTCTCTTTTCCACATCCTCACTGGCACCTGTTATCTTTTGTGGAATTTGATAATAGTCATTCTAACTAGTGTGAAGCAATATTCATTATGGTTTCAATTTATGTTTCCCCAGTGATTAGTGATGTTGATTTTGTGTGTATGTCGTGTGTGTGTGTGTGTGTGTGTGCGTGTGTGTTGGATGTTTGTCTTTTCTTTTGAGAAATCTCAATTCATGTCACTTGGCCAACTTACAAGCATGTTATTGGTTTCTTGATAGTAGGTTGCTTGAGTTCCTTATATATTCTGGATATTAACTCCTTTTTAGATGTGTAGTTTCCAGATATTTTCTTCCATTTTGTATGTTGTTTCTCCATTCTGTTGATTATCTTCTTTGAAGTTTTTCACTTAGATGTAATCCCATTGGGCTGTTTTTGGTCTTATTCCTCCTAAGGTGGTCTTATTAGAAAAAAAAGCAGCAGCAGCTTCCCAGTGCCATGTCGTGAAGCATTTCTCCAGGGTTTTCTCCTGACTTTCACAGTGTGTGTCTTCCATGAACTGCCGGGACCCATTTTGAACGCCCTTTTGCATGTGTAGGTCTACGTCCCTCTTCCCCATGCGGATCTCCAGTTTTCCCAGCACTGCTGATTGAAGAGACTGTCCTTTCTTCACTGTGTGATCTTAGCACTTTGTGGAAAATCCCTTGGATATCAGGGCCTGGGTTTATTTCTAGACTTTCTATTTTGTCACATGGGTTTTTGTATGTATTTTTATATCAATGCTATATTGTTTTGATTGCTATAAGTACAGCATATTTTGAGTGAGACAGTGTAGTGCCTGTTGCTTTGTTCTTTGCTCAAGATTGCCTTAGCTATTGAGGGGATTTTGTGATTTCCTATGAATTTTAGCATGGCCGTATCTTGTTCTGTGAAGGATGCCATTGGTATTTGATAAGGATTACGTTGAATTTATAGACTGCTCTAGGCAGTATGGACATTTTAACAATATTGCTTCTCCCAGTGCACAGTCACAGTTATCATTCCTTTCTTGTGTGTATTCTCTTCGATTTCTTCCAACAATTTTTCATCCTCTTTATTGTGTTCTTTTTTTGTTGCTTTGGTGAAATTTATTAGTCTTGTCTTATTGTTGCTATTATAAATGGAGTTGCTGATTGCACTTCTTTTTCTGATAACACTCTATCACCACGTAGAAATGCTACTGAGTTTTGTATGTTGATTATGTCTCCTTCGACATTGCAGAGTTGATTTATTTGTTCTGGTTGTTTTTTGGTAGGGTCTTTGGGGCTTTCTATCTTTGATCACAATATCAGAAAACAATGACAATTTAGTTCCCTTCTTTGAAATTTGGATGTCTTTAATTTTTTTTTCTTTGCTCACTACCCTGGTTAGAAATTCCAGACTATGTTGAATAAAAGTGATGAAAGCCGACATCCTTTTTCACTCTAGATTTAGAGATCAGTTTTCCCTCATTCAGTCTGGTGTTGTTGGTGGGCTTGTTGTGTATGTTGAGGTATGTTCCTCCTTCAGATAATTGCTTGAGAACTTTTAGCATGAAAGGGTGTTGAATTCTGATGAATACTTCTCTGTCTACTGGGGAGATAAGAGGATTTTCATCCCTTCATCGTACTGGTGTGGGGTATCATATTTATTATTCTGTGTGTGCTGAACAGTCCTTGCATCCCTGGAAAGCATTCCGTTTGATCGTGGTGAATACTCGTTTTAAAGTGGTGTTGGAATAGTTGGCTCATACTCACTTTGTTGAGAATTTTTGTCCCTGTGCTTTCCTGAATGTTGTTGAATTTCCTTAAAACAGCTGTTTTGAATTCTCTGAGAGATCACGCACAACCATTGCTTCTGGAAGCTTTATTTTGTCTATTGATGAGGTCATGGTTCCCTGACACTTATGGGTGTGTGGCAACATTTGCACATTAAAGGATTTGGTAATTTTCCCAGTGTTTGCAATATGACTTTGTTCCCGACCTTCCAGAAGTTCTTAGCATGGTGTTGATTTTGTTCCCTGAGCTTTGGTGGCTGGTGCTATTTCAGCATTCAGTGCCACGCAGAATCCAGGTTTGTTGTGTGAGTGTTTTTACTCTGTCAGCATCAGGGAGAGCCCCAATTCCAAATCTGTGGCAAATCCATGGGTTCTTCAACACGGACGTGGGGAGGGTAGTCCATCCCCACTGTGTCCACCAGACTCTCCCTGAGTCTGTAGGATTATGTTCAGTGTTAAGATTCATCATGGTGGGCCCAGCTCTGAGTTCCAAGGCAAGGCTTGCGATTCCTTCTCTGTTCTCTTCCCCAGGAGGTGGAATCTTTCTCCACCTGTGCTGACAGAGGTGGGGTAGGGATGGCAAGGCAGTCACTTGAATGCTGTGGCTGACACTGAGCTGGGATACACCTGGAGCTCAGGTCATGGGGGTGGAAGTTACCTTGGCTTCTTCAGTGCCCCCACCCCTCGGTAGGGCAGCTTTTCATCCAGCCATCACTGTGCTAACCAGACTTTCAGAGTGGAGCTCCACTGTGCTGCTTTGAATCTTGAATTTGTTACCTGTTAATGCTTCCTTTTCCTTCTGAGAAAAGTTGCCTAAAAAGATGACAGAAGCACTCGCCTTCATTCAAGGATGGACAACACCAGTGATGAGGAATGCAGGGGGTTTCAGAGCTGGCAGAAAGGTGGGTGGGGAGGATCATGGCTCTTTCCAAATTGCCCTCAGACTGTTGCAAGGAGTGTGTCAGAGAGAGAGAGGCAGATGGGTGGAGGTGAAAAAGTAAACAAATCTCAGGTGAAAGCTCATGGGGCCCTAATTGGTTCAAGAGAGCTTGCTTAAAAAATGGTTAAAGATTAATTTAGGTTCATTCAAATAAAAGGGCAGGATTCCGAGCCAGGTAGAAGGACACAGAGTCTGTGAAACCACTGTTTGGTTCAGGGGACATAGCCAGAAGGCCTGCGGTGCAGAGCAGGGCGTGTGAAGTATTTATTATTGTTGTCACTCTGACTCTCTCCAGGATGGCCTGCCTGCTTTCTGCAGCTCAGAGAGCGTCTGCGGGGGTTCTCTTCGTGGCACTCTGGGGCACGGTGCTGGGTGACAGGCTGCTGGTGGTGCCCCATGATGGAAGCCACTGGCTTAGCATGCAGGGCATAGTTGAGGCTCTTGGGGCGAGGGGGCATGAAATCGTGGTGCTGGTGCCAGAAGTCAACTTGCTCTTGAGAGAATCCAGGTTCTACACGAGGAGAATCTATCCAGTGCCGTTTGACCAGGAGGAGCTGAGAAATTGGTATCGCACCTTTGGAGAAAAGCACTTTACTGACAGGTCCTGGCTGAGCGAGCCTCAGACCCAATACAGGAAACTCATGGTTATGATTGACATGTACTTCATCAACTGCCAGAGCCTGCTGAGACACGGCGACACCTTGGATTTCCTCAAGGCGGGCAAGTTCGATGCTCTTTTCACAGACCCGGCCTTACCCTGTGGTGTGATCCTGGCTGAGTACCTGGGCCTGCCCTCCGTGTACCTGTTCAGGGGCTTCCCCTGTTCCCTGGAGCATGGGTTTGGCGGAAGCCCCAACCCGGTATCGTACATCCCCCGGTGCTACACAAAGTTCTCCGACCAGATGAGCTTCCCCCAGCGCGTGGTCAACTTCCTCGTTAACTTGTTGGAGGTCCCTCTATTTTACTGTCTGTATTCAAAGTATGAGGACCTGGCGGTAGAGCTCCTCAAGAGGGAAGTGGACCTGCCCACCTTATTTCAGAAGGACCCCGTGTGGCTGCTAAGATACGACTTTGTGTTTGAGTACCCCAGGCCGGTGATGCCCAACATGGTGCTCATTGGCGGGATCAACTGCAAGAAGCCGGACGTCCTGTCTCAGGTGGGTGGGTGTGCTTCTCGCAGGCAGACACTGCTCTTCTGGGCTCTGTCTTCTCCCACTCACGTGTGTCCTGTCCCCTGGGAGAAGAAATGGTGGTGGGGAGTGGGGAGGGGTGCCAGGCCTGGAACAGCAGGGCTGTGGGGGACCTGAGGCCCAGGTGACATGCAGGTGTTGCAGTGAACTTTGGGCTCATGCCTGCTGACAGCCATAGATATACAGATACACTTAGTTTTGTTCTGGGGACAGTCCCAGGATCATTGCAGCAATGGCATTGCAGTCCAGCAGAGGTGAAGGCTTGACCAAGGCAATGTGTCTTTGTTGAAACCCACTCTCCCAGCTCTGTCCATTTTTTGTCCCTGGTCCCAAGGCAGCTATGAGGAAACACACAGGCCAAATCTGCGTGCCGTCCTTTTAAAAAGATGTACTCCTATGGAGAAAGAAAGGAAATCGGGATATAGAGACAGTGCATCATCCACGGGGTTCACTTCACACAGGGCTGCACAGCCAAGTTAGAAAGCACTGAAGCTGGTGTGGAGCTGGAACTCAGGAACTCTGTAGTGGGATACAGTTGTCTCAAGCTTCATGCCAACTACTATGCCAGACACTTGTACCCACAGACCTGTTTTTAAATAGCCCAGAGCTAAGAATGGCTTTCATAGTTTTAGAGGGAGGTTAAAAACCAGCACCAGCACCAGCACACAGAACTTGCGACTGAGCTGTGTGGCCTGCAAAGCTGACTGCTCACTGCTGGGCTGGTGCAGACAGGTGTGGGAGCCTCAGACCTCAGGGACTGTTCCTACATGCCCCCCTGAGAAGTGGGGCACAGTGCCCAGAGTCACTTTGGAAAATCAAAACCTGTGAGTTGCTTTCTTAAATATTTATACCTTTGAAAGTTTTCATCTTCATGCCAGAATTTCCTTCTCAATGCATTTTTCATCGGAAGAAGCCTCAGACAGTCCCAAAGATGCTTGCAATGTGTCTTCCACACCAAACACTGGACACAGGTCCCGTGAGCCAGAGGGGCAGGAGGCTGAGCAAAATGGGATGGGGTCCAGGGAGCCTACGTTGTGAAATTGAAACTCCGAGTGTCAGGAAGATTCAACCAGAGGTTTATGAGTACAAGAGATTTATTTGTTATTGTCTATCCAAAGGGGTTTCTTATCACAAAGAAATATGGGACGTAAAAAGGAAAACACTGTCGTCTTTGGTACCTTGGTCCCACACACTGGTTCTGTGAGAAGAGTTGTCTGCAGTGACATTGAAACCAGAGTAGTGCAGGGTGCGGTCTCCATGCTGCCTCACCTGCGTGTCATTATCATCTTATATGGCCTTGAAGAAAACGACCTGTGTTAGAATGGGTAATCATTAGCTTGGACATTTAGTTCTTAGCAGCTGAATCAAGGTGATAAGAATCAACTTGCCTTTTGCAGTAATCAAACCATTTCAACACTATGAAAAAGCATTCCCTTCGGAGTGATGGAAATTGTATTGGAACCAGGTAGAGGTGACCGTTCACGCCATTGTGGATGTGCTAAATGCCACAGAATTATTCACATTAAAATGACTAATGTTACCTTACATGATGACAACTCAGAAGATTACCAACAGAAAAAAAAAAGAACATGCATCATATTTATAAAACTAAAGCCCTGATTCAGAGCTTAAAAATGGGTTCCTCATTAGGCAAATAACATAAGCAGATGCTACAAATACCAAACACAGCACAATGGCCTGTTAAACTTTGACCTAACTTCAGAAACAACCCAAGAAATTCAGGTAAAGAAGCAATGAGGGGCCAGTGTCTTGGTGTAGCAGGTAGAGTGGCCGCCTGCAGCGTGGGCATCCCATCTGGATGCCAGCTTGAATCCTGGCTGCTCCATTTCCATTCCAGCTCCCTGCTATGGCCTGGGGAAGCAGCACAAGTTGGTCCGAGTTCTTGGGCCCCTGCCATCCATGTGGGAGACCTGGAAGAAGCTCTTGGCTCCTGGCCTCATCCTGGCCCCTCCCTGGCTGTTGCAGCCATTTGGGGAGTGAACTGGCTGATGGAAGATCTCTTTCTCTCTCTCTCTTTGACTCTCCCTCTGTGACTCTGACACAAATAAATAAATACATAAATCTTTTTAAAATAAACAATGAAGTTCAATTTTGCCTATCAAATTAGGATAAAGTAGTGTTTTTTAGGTAACTATATGCTATAATAGTATAGCCTAAACAAATATACGTAGGACTGTGACTTCAGCTTCTACCTCTGAAGGTGAGGCTGACGACTTTCATGCACCTTCTCAGATTGTTTCAGGGTCAAATAGGACAGCAAGTGCTCTGTGGACTGGGGAGCCATGGCCCTTATTCCTCTCTTCCGTGGAGACTTCTAGCTCTATATGGGCCAAAACTTGGGAAAACAACATGGATTTCTTGCAACATTCTTTCAGGAGCATTTTTCCGGAAAATTAGGTCCCAACTCCTCAGGACTAGTTCTTCCGTGCCCACATTTCCTTCTCTTGTGTTCCAGAATCTTCTAAAACAGTAGTTCTCAAATGAGGGTAGGGGAGAAAGGGTGAAGTGATTTTGTCTCTAGTCACCTTATTCTATGCATCTGCTCTCCCACAATATGGCGCTGAGAGAGAGCCCAAACAACCTCTACGCAGCTGCCTCTCACCAGTTCGACTGATAAGCTGCAGGAGCTGATCCTGCTCCTGATTGGAGGAGAGCAGCGTGCTCGGCATGTGGGTAGCAGAGTTGGGATTGGTGAAGAGGACTATAAAGGAGGAGAGAGACAACATGCACCAGGAACATCTGAGGGAACATCTGAAGGAACACCTGAGCAGCCCCCGAGAGAGCCGGCCGGCGGTGTGCCGCTCCTCCGCGGAAGCGGGGAAAGCGGCGGGGGGTGTGCCGCCCCTCCATAGAGGTGGAAGGGTTGGCAGCCAACCCGGGAAGGACCAGCAGCAAACCCGGGAAGGGCCGAGAAGACAAAAGAACAGCACAGGGTCCTGTGTCGTTCCTCTGTGAATGGGGGAGCGACACCATGGTGCATAATATCCACCTACCCACTTCCGGCAAAGTAATCTGACTCAAGAGGTCCATGGTGCTGAGGTGGAGAGACTCTGAAGTGAGGACCTTCCAAGTGCGTGTCTTCCCAGCAGGGCTCCCAGCCAGGTAATGAGAGGGACAGCAATTCCCTCTGCCCACCCTCCATTCATCAGGTCTCCCTGCAGGGGTCTCTGCAAGTGATGCTG